GAGAAAATTCTCTATGTGATAGAGAAACCTCTCTCAACCGAGCCTCCTTAAGATCAAGCTAAAGCTCATACAAGTACGGATCAAACATAGAGATGATGCGATCAATGCTCGCAGTATCATGCTTGTTACTATGACGTTAGAGCATAGGTATTAACATAAAGGCATATAGAACTTTGAGATCATAGCAAAGCTTAAATACTTATTTATGGAGAATACAAGGCAAGATTATTGTAAGATAACGAGGAAGCTCTTTAGGGCTAGAATGAACAAGGGATCCAACATCAAAAAGCACGTCATCGTAATGATAGACTATATGAAAGGTTGGTCGAGCTTGAAGTTGGAATGGATGTTAAGTTATCCATTAACCTAGTATTGCAATCATTTCTAAATAGCTTTGGATAGCTCATCATGAACTTTAACATGATGCGCATGTAAAAGACTCTTGAAGAGTTGTTGTCTATGCTTAGGAAAGCTCAACCTAAAATTAATAAGAACAACAAAAGTTATGTACTTCTTATTCATAAAGAAAAAGGCATGGTGAAGGGAAAGAAAAAACCCAAAAAAAAAAAAGTCTTCAACTATACCTACTAGAGAGGTGAAAAAAGCCAAGGCTCAAAATAGCCAAAAGGATGCGATCTCGCTTTTAGTACAACAAGAAAGAGCATTGGAAGCGCAACTGCAAGGAGTACCTAAAAGAGGTAAAGAAAAAAGTTCTACAACCATCTCGGGTATTTATGTTTCTAAAGTTGATTTTCTTATTTCTAATTCCACCCATAAGTGTATGATGTTAAATATGGTATTCACATTTTTGAAATGTGTAAAAGCATATAAAAAGAAGGAAGATAGCTTCAAGGTTGATGACCTATATGACAACAATGGATCAATAGTTGGACCATTAATTATAGGCATATATGAGCTAGCACTACCATATGAGTATGTGAGCTAGCACTACGATGTGAAAATGTGCTAAGACTCAATTATTATTATTTTAGTAAAGACTAATGATTTTATTTCTATTTCTTGTAATGAACACGTATTCATTTTAAGAATAATGATTATTTTTAAGGAAGAGTTTTTATATAGAAATATTTTAATAATAATTATGTATTTTGAACATAACTCCCATGTTTGTAACATAGATGCTAAAATACTCAAATTATCTAAACAACATACACTTGTGGCATCGTCAACTTAGCCATATAATTAAGAATCTAATATCCAATCTACTTATAAAAGGATATCAAGAGTCATTTAATGATGTCTAAAGAATCTTGTTTACTTGATAAAAGAGACATGAATCCCATTTTAGTGTAAAAAAGAAAAAGAAAATGTTACTAGTTAGTTTGGCCTTACACATAAAAATGTATTTAGGCCCTCGTTCACCATGCAAGAGGAGGACATGATTATTTCATAATCTTTAATAATAATAGATCATGTTTTCATTATAAGACATAAATCGAAGCATTTGAAAAGTTTAAAGAATTTAGATTTAAAGCCAAGAAATAAACTAACAAGAGTATTAAGGCATTTCAAAGAGATAGAGGTGACGTATACTCAAACAATAAATTTTAGATCATCTAAAAGAGAATGAGATTCTCTATGGACATCATATGTTAGACATGATCTAGTCCATAATGAGTTAAGTTAATATCCCTAAATTATCTTGGAATAGTCACTCCTTATCGTAACCTTTATTTAAATAAGGTTCCAATTAAGTCTATTTGATTAGACTACATATGAGATATGAAAAAGAAAGGAAAGAAATGAATTTATCTTTTCTTGAGGATTTGAGGTCAGTAAAACATGTGTCAAATGGTTTGATAATGAAAAGTAAAAGCCAAAATCAATGAAATATAAATGCATGAGATATCTAAAAGAAACAAATGGATATTGTTTTTCTAACACTAGAACAAAGTGTTGTCATGCCTAGGCATGCTATTTTCCTTGGGAAGGAATATATGGATGCTAGAAATAGTAGAAGAAAATTTAAAGTCAATGAGATTAGAGTACACTCATAAATTAACACTCCATTAATAAAGCCTTAAGTAGAAAGGTTACAAGTTATTATAACTAGCCACAAACAAAATACAAGAACTTCATAAGTCTAAAAATAACTCATCAAAGAATAGAAGGATATGATCTTCTTGTCTTAACACATGGCGATGTGTGCCTTAAATAGGATAATGAAGCCGACGCTTATGAAAAGGCAATGTTATACATTAATTCCTAGAAATGGTAAATGAAAAGGATGTGTAAATGACACACCTTGATAGTTCTAAAGAATGTGTAAATAAGATTTACAAAGTGCAAAAGTCTAATTATGGACTTAAACATGCCTCTAGGAATTAGAGTTAACATTTTAGTGAAACAATCAAAGAGTCCGATTTTTAACAAAAACAAAGACAAACCCTATGTTTAAAAGAGGTTAGTGGGAGCCTACTTATCCCGGCTATTCTACATAAAAAAAAATTAAACAAACTACTTTTTGGCTTTAAACATTATCATGTTGTAAACCATCATAGATTGAGATATCTAAAACATTTTTTTCCTAAGTATGACATAGAAAGCGACTTACATTCTAAGAGTCAAGATCTATAGAGATAGATCACTTAGAATGCGAGGGGTCTTTCAAGACAAATACATTGATATGATACTAAAAGGTTTAGTATGGAAAAATTAAAGAAATATTTCTTCCAATGTCGTAAAGGTTGATGGTTAATTATAAATTGTAAAGGATCCATAGCGAAAGTTAAAGAAACCAAGGTCTTATCAACGATCCAAGCATGTACTACATCACTACCACTTGATTATAGAGATAAAAAATTATGGCGATATAAGGATAGAAAAGGTCCACACTAAAGATAATATAGCCGACTCTTTGACCAAGCCTTTATCATAGCTATAACATGAAACTTTTACTTGAGTGTCTAGCTTAAAGGACATAGCTAGTTAGCTCGAGTGCAAGTGGGAAATTATTAGTATAGGGGTCCGAGATCCAACCTTGTTTGGATGGGTTTGATTTATTATTTTATTGCATTATTTATATTGTTTATAATAAAAAAAGTTTTTCTATTAATTCTTGTCATTTACATTTATTTATTAATTAGAATTATATAGAAATTCATACGACATGCATTTGCAATTCTTGGTTGGATGTGTGAAAAAAAATTAGAATCCCAAAAAAGAATAATAGTGGCATGGGATCAAGCAAGAGGGTGCTCGATCAACATATTAAGCCTATGAATAATAGTATTATGATTGAACAAATGCTTAAGTCTGTTTCGACAACGACAAGAAATGATGTAGCTACAACAACGAAGGCATAATAGAATAAAGAAAAAATGAGGATGTTAATAAATATGTAACAACAATAGGTGGGGGTAAGACCATCACAAAAAGCTTACATTGTCGAATGATTTCAAAATTTTAACCTAATGGAGTTTTTGGGGAAAACTGACTCGATGGCTACTAAGAAATGGATTGAATCTTTGGAGAAGATTTTTGATCATATGGAAATAGAGGAGGTAGATAGGATACCTTGTGCCATTTTCATGTTGGTTGGTTATGCACGGGTATGGTGGGAATCAACAAAAATTTCTTTGGACGTACCTGAAACTCACTTAGGCATGATTCAAAGAAGTATTCAATGAGAAGTATTTCTTAGATAGTGTGAAGTCAAGAAAAATACAAAAGTTTATGCAACTCGGAGTAAGGAGATATTTTGGTAGCCGAGTATGTTCGGAGGTTTGAACACGACTATTATTTTGCAATGTTTATTTCAAGTAATGTTGCCCAAAAGAGGAAGCATTTTCTAAAAGGTTTTAAACCCAAAGTTTAAAGTTTGATGCGAGTGTCGACCGATGATTATGGTGAGATTGTAAGTAGGGCATTGGAGATAAAAGGAGATCAAAAAGAGTTGGCATGATTACAACTAGTCAAAGGTCATTAGTTGCAAATAACTCCGGTGAACAAGTTATGAAACAAAAGCAATCCGAGAAGATATGGCCAAATGGTGCAAAGAAGGCAAAAATTTTCGACGGGCTACAAAAGGCGAAGCCCTAGATAAGCTGATTTGCTCCAAGTGTCACCAAAAACACATTGGTAAATGTTTACGTGGCACCAATTTTGCAATTCTTATCATGAGGTCGGACATATGGTAAGGGATTGTCCTAAAAGAAAGGCTGCACCAAAAATTTCAAGAAGAGTATATGTGATGATGCAAGGAGAAGTTAAGAAGATTCAAGACATGAGAAAATTGAACTTGTAAATTCCGAGGATGAAATTTTTATAAAAGGGAGGATGTAACAACCTGACTTTAGAATGTCATGCACTCAAATGTGTGTGCATGCTTGCTTACTTGATACTTAATAAATGTGAATGATGTGTGTTTTGATTACAATATATGATAATTATGCTTGGTGTTTATGTAAAATATGTGTTTTATACTCGCATTAATATTGTGCTTGGCATTGTATTACTAAGTGTTTAGTTTGCAAAGTTAATTATTAAATGTTATACATGTATGAGTAACTTGGAAACTTAATTGTAATGACCTAGGGACCTAATTGAAATAATTAAAAGTTTAGATACTCAATTGAATCAAGAGGTCAAGTTGAATGACTATTATGTAAACTTAAAAAACCTAAGGAATGGCAATATGCTCTATGATGCTTCTCTCTTTAACAAAGTTTGCATGTTCTAAAGTAATAACAGTCGACAAATATCTAGCCAATCTACTAGCAAACATCTTCGAGATAATCTTACACGCAAAATTGGATAGACTAATACGTCTAAGAACATTCAAAGATGTGGGATTCAATACCTTTGATAGTAATATCAAAGTGGTGGTCGAAAGACCTTTAAGAATGTGGGCTTCTTTAAAAATCACGAACAGTAGCAATAACTTTTACTCTGATAATATTTCAACATCCTTGGAAGAAATGCCCTGTGAATCCATCCCCACCCAGGGCACTAGAAGGATCAAGACCCTTGACTGCCTCCTAAATTTCCTCATCTGTATAGAAGCATGAAAGTCCCATATTGTTCGCATCTGATACCTTTCTTTCCATCCCTGCAAACAACATATCATGTAACACAATAGGACATGTAGAAAACAGATGCTGAAACTAGTCCACTATTGTATTGCCTACAAAAGTTACGTCCTCGGTTAAAGTGTCATCTGGCTGTTGAAGCCTAAGAGTAGGGTTCTTAGCTTTACCCTTGATGGTAGCATAGAAAAAGGTTGTATCTCTGTCTCCATCTTTGATCCACTACACTGTTTCTTTCTACTTCAGTATCTTTGCCTCCCATTTCACCAATTTGTTCAGACGAGTTCTAGTGTCTCGCAACTTTGAGGCTGAATGTTCATTCCAATTCTGCACCAGCTCATTTTCTAGCGTAATAATCTCATTGAGCGGCCTCTATGTTTCTGTTGATGCAGCAAACAAAATTCTAATTCCACATTTGCAACTGCCGACGCAAATGAATTAATTTTTATTGAAGCACTAATAGTGGTATTTCCTAAAACAACTGACTTCAAACTAACTGAATAAAAACCATAAATTGGGGATGATCTAGCCACACTCATTGGAACTTAAACAAAGATTATCCCAACTCAGTCTGAACAAATTTAAGATGGAGGACAATAATCTGAGTTAGTTCTGGCCAAATGTTTTATCATAAAAAGAGGAAGAGTCGCTTTGAAACGGGCATCAGCTAACACTATTAAGATGCTGTCATATACAATTCCCACTTTTTTGGTTATCACACCATATGAATATACTACCTTGATATCTAGCATCATCCACTTCAAGCTGGCCACAGCAATCATTAAATTCTATCATACTTTAAATATCCACATCCTTACCTCTTAATTTCTCTGATACGTTTGATATCACATTGAAGTCTCCTCCAATCAACCCTGACTCCTGAACTTGAGCTGAGAGGTGAATAAGATCATTCCATAAACCATGTCTCTCTAACATACTGCATTTAGCATATATGAATAAACATAGAATGGGCAGCCAATCAAAATATTTAAGCCTTATAGTAACATGCTGAGACCCCTCCATGCAATGCACATCGACTATATTATTCCAAAAAATCCAAATATATGTGTTTATCAAACTTTAATGCATGAAGAAAGTGTATGTTAATTTTTTTTTTTTTTTTTTTTTTGGCTATATTTTCAATGTTATTTCCTTCCAATTTAGGTTCTAAAATAGTTAAGATCATAGGCCTATGTTGAGACCTAAGCATTTTGACATAATCGATGGTGGTTTTATTACCTATCCCTCGAGCATTCCACAGTCGCACAGACATTAATGACACTTGATGGATTTATTGATTGCGCTCTAGTTGATGCCTTTTTTCTTCTGTTAAATGCCGAATTCTGTACCTTAGACTTTTTAGGCATATTCAAAAATCCTTTATATTATGTCTGCAACTCTACCATATTGGCTACCTCCTCATCAAATTGTGACATCCACTTTCTTCTGCTTTTATGCATGCCTGACTTGATTTTTTTTTCTTTTTTCCCGTACCCATCTGATAAAGAACCTCACCATTCATGCATTATTTCGCTCCCAATTATAATGTCTTTATTCATAGTTGTCAACATATTAAACTTGTTGCTAGTGTGGACTTCTTCCACCTCACTATCATCTCCATCCATATTATCAGTATGAGTCATGGTATTATCTCGTGGTTCATAAATTCTAGCTCTGATGTTCAGTTACTGTATTCCTCATTTGGTAAAAATGGCTGGTATTTAACAATATCCATAGCAGATGTTACCGTATGCATCTTTATTGTTTTTTTGTTTAGGAACTGTAATTGTTGTGGGCATCTGGACGATAACATCACCATGGTTGTCTTCTACATTTTCCATACCATCAGGTCTTCCTACTTTTTATTGTTACTCGATTATTATCTGATTTATATCGGTTTTGCCTTTTCTTCTTGTGACAGCTTCCAACTGTATGTCAATCAGCTCGCATCCTTTGCAAAAGGTCCCTTCATATTCCACCTTTTGCCAAAAATCCTTATCTTTCGAGGTCTCTATCCAAACTCTTGAAGGGAGATATCTGGAAACGTCAAGCTCTATACATGTTCTTGCAAACATGGGGTGAGTCAATGCAGTTGTTCTTTCATCTGCTCATAAATATTGCCTGAGAGATTCCTCTATTCTTCGCAGATATGATGGTGTAAGCAAAGAAAGTGGGAGATGAGGTAATCTCACCCAAACTACTGCATATGGACAGTTCCTTCGAAAGGCAAAATTGTGTCCATCTAAATAAACGATACATGCGATTATTTATCTTATGATCTTCCCTGAATAGGGTTGCAATCACGTTAGCTTCAGAATTTAAATGAACCATTAAGTGCCTAGGGTCCAATAAACTAATGATGTGATCACCTACCAAATCCCATGATCGTCAAATATGGTTTTGTATGTCATTGATTGGTGGTCCACCATTGGAAAATTTTAGAAGAATAGCTGATTGAAATTGTTTTGCTGCTACTTCTATTTCTATTGTAGAGAAAAAACGAGCTGGTTCTCTATTGATGGTTGCTTCAGGTCTGGTTGCTAGGGGAATATCCAAAAGTGTGGGGTTGGGACGTGTTTGTTCAATGCTTAAATTTCATTTCAATATTGGTGCATAATTCACTGGTTTTGATTGCTACAATAACTTATTTGTATTCATCCTGTTAGTTTGTTTTTCTTAATTTGGTGTTACAACTATGGTGTTATGACCAACTTCTACATCGTAGTCTTCTTGTCTAGTATTCTACAATTTTTTAGAGGCGGCTGTGTGCACCGCCTTAGGGTTTGGTTGGAACTTAGAGATATTTTCTCTCATCAAAGAAAAAAAGGGAAAAGGAACAATCGAATCAAAGCTCGGTTGTTCCTATTTTGGTGGTTGCAAAGCCATATAAATTGTAGATGATTCGTTACTGTATTTCTCATTTGGTAAAAACAACAGGTATTTAACAATATCCATAGCAAACGTGTTATCATATGTACCTTTATTGTCTTGTTGTTCAGGAGCTGTAATTGTTGCTCGCATTTGGACAATAACATCATGGTTTTTGTTACGGACCAATGAGTTTTGGAATTCATAAAACGAGTATAAGTGTGGCGAAGTTGAAAAAACATATTGGCCTAATTCTGATTTTTTTTTAACTTAATTCGATGACAAACGGGCCAACGAGGAAAACACATGGGCTATGCCCAAGACGTAAGTGTGATTTTGGCAAAAAAAAAAATATACTATTTAGGCCCTCAAAATTAAATTTTACTATTTTTTGAGATATTTTTCTTTTTTTGGTATTTGTTTCCTTTTTGAATTGTTTTAGGGTCTTAGTCGAATTTTTCTACTTATGTATGAGTTGGAGGCTGAAAAAATACAGCTTTGTTTGATTAATAAAAGTTTATGAGAAAGTATTTCAAGTTTATCCTAATTTTTTGCATTCTTTGAATCAACGGAATTGAAGCCTATTTCTTGGTATTTGTGTCAAATTCAATAGATTATAGTAAACCGATATCTAGATTTCGGATCAACGATATTTATCTTTTTCTTATGATTTTTCGCTACGTCGGTTGATATCGAGCTAGTTTATCAATTTCTTGACCATGCTGCCAAGGAGACGACAACGGCGAGATATGTATGAGATCTATGAGCATATTAATGTTGTGTTTAAAGCAACGACACGAGCAAATGAATGATAGGATGGAATAATCCTTACGGGAGTTGACACGAGTAGATAGGGCCGTTGGCGCGACGAGATGGGTTCGTTGATGATGAACAAAGGAACCAAGCCCGAAATTGAGAGATACTAGAGGCTAGTCTAGATGATGAAGATATTCCACACGGACAACGAGAGGATTCCTATGAGAGATTATAACGAGTAGGAGGTGAGAGAGTGGTAAGCGGATCGAGATTCCTAAATTTTATGGTACCCTTTGGGCGGAAGAATTCTTGGATCTGGTTATCGAGTGTAAAGGAGATTCTATAACTTAAGGAGATCTTTGAGGACAAACATATGTCTTTAGGAGCCACTTAGATTTAGGAAAAGAGCAACAAATTGGTGGGAGCAACTGAAACCGACAAAAAATAAGATGGTAAACCTAAGATTAATTCTTGAAAAAAATTAAAGAAGTACATACATACTACCTTCTTACCTTATAACTTTCAAAAGATAATGCGAGCAACGATTACAAAATTTAAGGTAAGGGACCCGATCGGTAAATGATTATACCACCGAGTTCTACTAGTTGCTAGCTTGAAAAGAATTATAGGAGACAAAGGATTAGAATCGGTTTGTGGTGAGATATATTAGTGGTCCGAAATCGCGAGGTTAGGGATTATGTTAATATATTTGACACTATGTGTCTTTATACTACCTTTTAGAAAGCACTACGGGTTGAGAAGTAGTCTTTTTGGAGTAGCTTTATTAATCCTTTTAGTACGAGAAACGAGTAGCGACATAATTAGTAGAGGTGGTGTAGTCTAGGTAAGAAGAAATGATGGCAAGAACACAATAGTTACCGAACGAGTAGCAGGGCAACTAGTATCAATATAAAGTGCTTTGGGTGTGGTGAAGTTAGTCACATATAATCCGAGTGTCGAAAGGCAAGAAAGAGAGCACTTCTTATTGATGCTAAAGATTATGATGAAGGTGATGTAGAGTTGATTGGTGATCCATTTTTTAATGATAGAGATACCCCAAAAGAAGAGGTGGTGATGGGCGATGAGGGGACAACACTAGTTGTTAGAAGGTCCAGCTTGAGTCCTAAAGTTGCGATGATAATTAGCTAAGGAGTCATGTTTTTCGATCCAGTTGCATAATTCAAGGTAAGGTATGTGGTTTTATTATTGATGTTAGTAGTTGTGAGAATATTATGTCTAATGAAGCGGTGTGAAACTAATTCTCAAAACAAAGAGGCACCACAAGCTTTACAAGCTGGCCTAGCTTAAAAAAAGAGAGGTAGGTATTTTTCAATGAGCTTTAGTTTCTTTTTCTATTAGCTTTAAGTATTAGGATACTATGTGATGTAATGTGGTTTCAAAGGATACAAGTCATTTACTTGTTGGGTAGGCCTTGGCGATATGATAGGGGTGTAATTCATGATAAGCAAGCCAACATATATAGTTTTCTATTAATGAGGTAAAGATTGTACTTATACCTAGCAAGATCTCGGGTGTTTCTAAACCTACAAGAGAAAATAGCAAGTCGGTGTTGCTAGCTCGTTTATGGAGATAGTTGAAAAGATTAACCCTAATGCTTATTGTCTCAAGCTACTTAGTCATATCCATAGTACTCGATCTTTTTAATCTCAAGCATTTTATTCCCTTTCGCAGTTGACTCTTCTAATGATGATGATGTAGACAATTCGATGGTTAATTTTCTCTTTCCTAAGGAGAATGATGCGAACCAATAAGTCTTAGAATTCATAAAACAAGTATGAGCACGGTAGAAGTTGACAAAAACTATTGGCTTAATTCTAATTTTTTTAGCTAATTTGATGCCAAATGGGCTAACAAGGAAAACACATAGGCTATGCCTATGACACGAGTGTGATTTTGGCCGAAAAATACTATTTATTCCATCAAAATTAACTTTTACAACTTTTGGGGATTTTTTCTTATTTTTTGGGTTTTTTTGGTATTTGTTTCCTTTTTGAATTGCTTTAGGGCTTTGGTTTAATTTTTCTAGTTTTGTATAACTTAGAGGCTGAAAAACACAACTTTGTTAAATTAATAAAATTTTATGAGAGATTATCTCAAGTTTATCCCAATTTATGGCATTCTTTGAATCAACGGAATTGAAGCCTATTTCTTGGTAGTTTGTTTCCAATTTAATAGGTTGTATTAGATCGACATTTGGATTTTTGATCAATGGTATTTATCCTTTTCTTATGAGTTTTCAATACGTTAGTTTTCTTCTATATTTACCATACTATCAAGTCTTCCTACGGGTGCATCATCTTGATTTAATTCCTTGTTTTTCATATCGATAGATGATCTTGTTGGTCCCCCGATTATCAATAACCAAAATGAGTTTGATGCTGAATATCATTCTTTTTACAACCCACTAGAACCCAAACATCATTAAAGCTTTTTTATTCTGTTTCTCTTTTCCCTTTCTCCATATTTATATACTTCACTAGTTGTTTCGATGTAATATTACCATGAGTCGTTACTACTTTTATCCGTTTAACATCCGTTACCAATTTCGGAACTATCAAATTTTGTTTATGGTTATTTATAACTCCCACTTCTTCAGTTTCTTCCTTACTAGAGGAGACTCGCGTTATTACTCGATTATTATTTCATTTTTATTGGTTTTGCTTTATCTTCTAGTGATAACTTCCAACTATATGTCTAATCAGCCCGTATCTTTTATAGAATGCAACATTTCCTTTATGCTCGCTACTAGACATCGTACGGGAATCTTAAAAAAAAATTAAGATTTTAGAGTTTTACATCGCATTTGTGAGTTATTCTAAAGATTTAAGTTATTATTGAGTTTGGAGTCGCCACCTAGTGTTAAAAGAACTAGATACTTAAAAAATAGCATTGGTGTATAGATTCTCAAGTAAGGAGTTGGTTGCATTTTGAGAAGTCATCGTTCACCCTAAACCATTCTTTCCTCAAAAAGGTACCACATCTAATTTAGTCTTAAATT